AAAAGAAAATAAATACAGACATATTAATATTTTATCAAGCATATTATATTATTTATTGTAATATAAAATATGAATAACTTGTTTGTATACTTATATGTTATGTTTGTGGCCAACGTATTATAACAAGTATAAATATGAAGTACTATGAGTAGGTATAGCTAGCGCCATCCACTATAGGACCGTTCTTAAGACTATGGGGAAAAGGGCAAATACAAATTCAGAGGACCTAAAATCACAGATTAATTTAGTTTGAGTGTCAATATGCTATTGTTATTTTGTTATTGAAATACGTAAAAGGTGTAAAAATATGATAATATTTGATATTTGAATATTTGAATATTTACTATAATACTTATTAGGTAGGTAATAGGTACTTATATTTAATTCTCTAAATCTAAAATGTATTTTATTACGTATCTTGTAAATTTTTAAGCTGTAACAATACCTACTAGTACAATATTGTCGTCTGTCAATTAGAATGCATTGATTTATTAAGTTTGGAAAACAATTTAACGAAACGTATATTAATATACATTTTTTTTTTATTAAGAGTGCAGTATATAGGTAGATAACAACTAATCGTTTATTTGAATTTGTAAAATAGTTGTAAACATTAGGAATTTATTAAGTTCCAACACACTTTCATATTTTCACAAAAATCTATTTTAATATAGAAGGGATTCACCATGCACTCTCAGTTCCTCTTTCTTTAATAATATAGTTATTATCAATATCTGATATTTGAATTTTTAAATAAAGGCCATATTTTCAAACTCTTGAGAATTTTTTGTACTACTTTAGGTGTATCCTGTGGATATACAAGTTTCTTTTTTCATATAAGAACCCCCCCCCCTTCTACTTAAAATTATATAGTGGAAATGTTTCTGAAAAATATGACGTATCAAAATCAAAATTTGAACTAGTTTTTGATTTATTTAATTTTATGCTTTAAAGATAATAGGTTCAATATATTCATAACAATGGTTTCAGAAGATAAAGGTATATGGTGACTTGAACATTTTAACAATTAACATTAATCTAACAAGAATTATAATTTGTAGAAATGGTCCAAGTATAATAAATATTAAATACTAGATCTAATATTACATAATTTTATATTTTTGTAAAACCATTTTTAAGGACCATTATCCTTATTATAAATATTGAAATAACGGAGAAACTACTCGTTCAAATTTTGAGCTACTGAAGTATATTATTATATGTTTAAAAAAATATCTGATAATCAGAATACGAATAAATAAATTATTAAATGAAACAATTAGGGTGTGCATGCATAGTGAAAATGTTTAATATAATAATTATGCAAGTTTTTTGGCAATAATATTGTTAACCTACTGTACAAGTAAAAATAGAAAATAAATTGATAATAGTAATTGATATAAATAAATTATACTTTTCAATATTTATCATCGTTATAATTAAACAGTTTATTCACATACACCAATTAATAACTGCAATATATTCTGAACGTGGGATGTATGCATGGTCGAATAGGTATATATATAGGTACTGTCGTGCGTTTTTGTAAATAATATTTATGATTTTCATCTCAATTCCATTTGTAAATATTAATATTCAAACAGCTTTATTGTATAACAACATTTTATATAATATCACGTTATTTATTTTTTGGTTTTAAAAAATATATATACCTACCGCCTGTACCCTAGGGCTAAATAAGAATATGTGAAAAGTGAATAATATTCATATGACAGTAGGTATACCTATAGCTCACGTTATTTTTAAACAACATTTTTACAGTGACAGTTTATACAGTTGTTATAAGTTGTTTTTTATAGGAGCTAAATTGTATGGACTTATAAGTAAAGTCGTATAGAATAATGATTTTTAATATAGTGTTACAAAGAAGATTATTTTTAATGTTTGAAAATAAGAGTTTGTTTTGAATAATGTATTATTAAAATTTAAAATATTTCTTAATTATATTATGGCACTTATAAATTACCTGATTAATAATGGTCGCAACCGTTATAAATATAAAAATAATTACAAATTAAAATATTATTTTTCTGTTGTAACCCAAGAAGTGTAAACATAATACTTATATTTTACATTTTTCGTAAGTATCTAAGTAATAAACATCTCCATAAGTCTCAATCGTTAGATACGTACCTATATTATAATAATTTTTCTAACATTGGTTATGCACAACATTATTTATTATACAACATGATAAGTCTATTGTATGTTCTCAATTAGGTAGCCTGGTAGCCAATAAAAGACAAATAAGCGGGACGGAGTGGCAGAGCGCTCGAAGGCGTCGGATGCGACGCTGGCTCGATTCCTTAGTCATGGGTGGCATTTTTCTTTGGGCAAGTCACGGTGTCAGGAGAACAAGTGCCGCCATCCCCCACCCGGGCATGACAGATACCTACGGGTGCCCATCAAAAATTCTGCCAGACCAACACACACGTGTTCCCCCCCTACCGACATAAAAAAACCTACAAAAACCATACAGCTAATGTTCATAGTCACCGGGCTTAAGATTAACTAAAAAAAAAAAGACAAATAAATTACCAATTCATTAATTATTATATAATAAATAGTAATACAATTTTATTATAGTTAATATTTAAGAAACACTAATAATTGAAGCTGATAAGAACAAAAAATAAAAAAAATATCAATATAACTGAATAGGTACAACTTTTGTTCTATCAAATAAAAATGTACTCTCAATTTGTATAGCCTAGTAAATGATTTTATTTAATTATCAAAATCACATTGATAAATGCTTCAAGGTGACAATAGTCTGTAAATGTATACCTCCTACTCAGAAACATTTTTTTTTTTCATTTTTATAAATTTAATGATTTGATTATATTTTAGTGCAATAATATTCAGGACGAACCACCTTATATTCTAATATTACCAATAACACGGGAAAGCATCAAGACTTAAAATTAACTTACTGATACAATATGCAATTACAGCATAATATATATTGGCCGATACAAGATTTTCGAAACTATTGTTAATCTATGGTTCTGAGTTAGATTAGATTTTAATTTCAGCAACGAGTTCGTGATAATGTTATTATTATCTGACGGATTATGCAATTTTTATTAATAATAATTATTATAAAGTGACCATAATTTAAAAAAAAAAATAAAATAAAATGAAGTAAGCCATCAATTAGCTTCGGGTTGCTATAAACGCGACGTAAATGTGTTTCACACGTTTTAAAATGCGTAGGTTTCGTTAAATATTATTAACTATGTAATTATATATGTTAACCAATGACTTACGAAAAGTCCATTACACTACGTTTTGATCTATTTTAGTGAAAAATTGTTAACATCGTGTCTTCTGAGAGGTCGTCTACAAGTTATAATACTGAAAATGTAACACTTTACGGCATTAAGATAGGTAGGTATATCATATGTAAAGAACAATCCTTAATGCACAGCGTAATTTGATAGTGCATTATAGTATTATACCTACAACTTTCATTGTGAACAATGGGCAATGATGAGCGCAATAATAACATTTTATTTTAAGGTTTTATTTCTTAAATGGAAATTACAATATACACTATTACCTATACTTAGGGTTCTCAACTCTCTAACGTAAAATATGGAACTTTGTAATTGTATATCGTGTAAGTGTTATACAAATAATTATATGAAAAATGAAAATTATAGTTGAATTGTTTTTTTGATCATAGACAAAAAAAATATTAAATCCCCCATAGAGAATAGTTTTCAAATGTTTTAATTAATAAATTATATTTGTGTCAATGGTTCGATTTTAAAACTCTTCTATATCATTTTTTATTTATAACGCTATTACAAATACTCTAACGTAATTGAATAATAATAATCATACTCAATAGAAAATTATATAGAAATGGGGTTTTTCAATTAAAGCATATTTAGTTCATCGGTACATTGACTTGGAACTGGTTATGTAGAGCGTTATACAGACATGTTATAATATGGTGTCAAAACGCCAAAGGCCAATGCAAGTACGTACACAAAAGTAAAAATAATATAACTTGTATGTCCATAAGCCGAATAATAGAATAACAATTTATGACATCGGCGCAGCCACAAATGGTCACCGACGTGTACTTCTTAATAAACAATGGTTATCTTATAATTATTTTTTATTGTTGTAAGTAGTTGTGCACCTGTGTTTCTAGAACAACACATAATATCTACAGCTAACTTTACAGTATAATATGTAATGTTAATTCATTTTCTATAATATTAACAACGTTTTGATCGTCTATGGATTTAAAACGCATAAAATAAATCATATAAACATTTGTATCTAAAGATGATGTAAAATCATATAACTAAAACTAAAATAAATAAATTACTCGAAATTATATGCATAAATGCTACTGATGTGTATGAATGTATGCTAATTGTCAGTCAACAGTCGTTTTGGTAGCTACTTGTATTTTTTAGCTAAAATGTACAAAGTTATTTATTTACGTTATTCAGACCTGCAGCTTACAAAAAAAAATTTCATAGCAGCGTGGGTATAACAACACAACAAAGAAACTTGTCAATTTTAAACCAAGGGTCCTATGTATCGACAGACTACAGTGGTAAAACACAATAAACTCAACTTTGACAATTTTAAACTTACAAAATGCGTACGTACTTATCATCTTACTTCGAAGGTTCAAAATCAGTTTTTTCAATCTTAAAAATAATAAATCACAAAACTTTTGTTTTCCAAGTTTTCACTTTAGTCTCTATAATCAAACGCATTATAATAATAGTAAACCGTCTCAAAACATTTGACATACCCACAATAACAAATGAATCGGATTTCACCACAACAAATCGATTCCGGGTACTAACCATTTACCTATAGAAGGTATCATCTATGAATGTCTGTCTTATGATAATAGATATCCAATATGGATACCAGTCCGTACACTTGACACGTTAAGGTCTCTCGGGCGTCCCTTGATCGGTGAGCGACACCACGCTCCGATGGCTTCACTGATCAACGGAGACAACGATCAACTTGAGACATACCGAGGCTTCTGTACCAATCGGTATGGATTTCGTTGAAATGATCGATGGACGATGGCAAACCCGTTCCAACTCAAACACAGAAGCCCGGCGGTATGCCCCATCGGACCGGATTATGTCGATACGATCGACGGTGAATGGATTCCGACGTCTAGCCCTGGAAGAATACGTCATTACGATATGGCGTGTTGCGTTTTGTAACGGGTCAATCGTTTTTCTTGAAACGTGTGCACACCACTTAATCGATCGGTAAACCGAGCAGCTCTTTGATAAAGCAAATCAGGCATGTTAATGTTTTTTTAGACGTTATTCAACGAACAACAAATAATATTGTCTTAACAAACGTACCGATCTTCGCATATTTATTTCACTCTGCAAAACGTTTAAAATAACACAACCATGTCAACCATTAAAATATATCAAATATTTTAAAATTCTATGTATTACGTTTGAATAAAAAAGCATATACAATGTTATACGTCATGTTATAACACAATGTTATTAGCATAGTAGAAATTGATTACAGATTGTATGGGCAGAAACAGTATTTAGGTATACATAAAGTAGGGTGGCCACTAGGAAGCCTACTTGAGGTACATACACAATATTATCAGTAAAATATTTACTATCGTTATCGTTATTTGGGGTTAAAGTGGCAGTGGTGGCAAAAAATCAAGGTACTGTGATTCATATTTTATTTTGAGCGTTCCGTGTAATAATGTTTTCCCGTTCAACAATATTCATTAATTTTCTGAACCAAAAAATGTTTTCTCAAAATATTAATTGCTTTTGTTAATAGGTAGCAAAAATATCCAAATTACATAAAATCATAATGTCTGTATATTAAATTACATTAAATAGGTATAGCCGTATAGGTACATATAGTTAGGCTTGGGCACATAAATTAATAATTATAATTGTCTTTCTGCGTAGGACTTCATATCATAATACAGTTTTTAACACTTACATAATATTATAAATTAACAAAATTAAATATCAAAAGGAACATGAATTATATTTCCCTTGCAGTGAGTTAGGTATACATTGCACAAAATGTTAAATATATAAAAATTAATAAGTTGCAAAGCGCATCAGGTCAATATTTTTTATCAATATATTTTTACTTAACAAAAAAAAAATATGATTCCAAATACTGAAAAATATAAAAAGATAAATTATCGAAATGAAATAATTAATATTAACGGAGGAGAAGTTATTTTGGTTAAGTTTCAATGCCTCAGTGGCTCAACGTACTAGCGTACCATTCGAATAATTAGTTAAGGATAAACACTTTTAGCCCAATCAGCCATCAGGGGTAGGGGGACTCCCCCTCAGCCACCCTACCCTCACTACTTTAACCACTGATCGTTATTTGTAAATGTACAATAAATAAATATATAATATTTTGAATTTTGAATTTTCATTTCAAGTGTAAATACCATGATTAAATATTTTAATCCTGTGTAATATGTATACTAAACTTAATATTTGAAATCGATTATAATTATATATTAGGTATCCGACAACATCGAATAACAATAGGTAAACAAATATTTTGGTGACTATAATTGTATAACAAATTGTATGTTTGTGATCCACATTTAAGAATAGGGTATACTATTTCGAGTTTCTTTTAGTCATTTAATCAATTTACTTTAAGTCTTTTATTTTTTATGAGTTTTGTTGTTTCTCGTAAAATATAACATAAGTACTATATTACTATGAATGTATTTATTAAATCGATAAATATTACATTACACGTTGAATTCTGGCGTATTCGTAGATGGGGACATGGAGTTAATCAAAACTTAATCTTTCAGTCAAGGAATTGTATAATAATAATTCTATCACTCACTTGTACTTTACACAATTATAATATTATTTGTTCAAGCGAATAGAGCAACACTATTAATCGTTTAATGATAATTATATTTATGTTAAAATTGTTAAGCGATTTGAGGATTGGTAATAATATTGGTACTAAATCTGAAACAATTATAATGGATATCATTAATATTTTAATAACAAACATAAAGATTATTGTATCTTTAACCAAACTGATAATAAACATTTAATTAAGTTTTCAACAAATACTTATGCAATTATATATAATATATTTATATATATAATAGTATTATATTATATAAGTACATACAATATGGAATCAAATGATCAATATTAACTATACATAATATAGCTACTTATTATTTGTACATTAAGCAATAGACATGTTAATATTTTATACATATTTGTTGAGATAAAAATACAATTACTGGTAACACATGGTTTTTACTGATATCAATAATTTAATTATATCTAATTATCTAATTATATGAAGGTAATATATAAGAATGCTCACCCCCCGTGTTCACATAATATAATAAACTAAATTTAAATTCTGAATTTTAGGAATTTTTAGCATATTTAAGGCACCCGGTGCCGATGCCATATTTTGTCCTCAAAAATACACTCTGCGGGAATAACGATACCTCCTTGTAGAATCAACCAAATTTCATAATTTTTTTTTTTAATTGCTAGTGGGAAATATTTTACAGCCCTCATCGATCTCTATTTTTCAATATTTTATTCTCAAACTTTATAATATGTCTAAAAAAAATACAAGATAAAAGCATTTTTTTACAAATTTTTAGTACAATTATTTTAAATAAAATACAAAATCAGAGATTGATGCGGGCTGTAGGAAGTCTTCTTCTTTTAGATAAAAAATAGTCATCAAAATCCGACAATTCTACAAAGCTTGAGAATTATTCATTCCCGTAAAGTCATTTTTTCGATACAATACACCCTATCAAAACACCCCTGAATAGGTATCAGGTAGAAGATTAGTGGAAAAGTCTTATAATTGAGGTAGAAACTAAAATATAAAATTTAATTTTCAATTTTATAGAATTGTGGACAATTTGAAAAACTGTCACCCGGGGACCCTCAAGAACCCTAGTGTTATAGCTATTTACATTTTTCAAGATTTTTTGTACTACATATAAAGTGTCCTGTGGAGATACAAGCTTTTGTTTTAAAAATGAGAAGCCGCTTTTTTCCTTAAATTATTTAATAATTTAGTGTATAATTTTTCTGAAATCGTGAACGTATCAAAATAAAAATTCAAAAGAGACATTTTTGAGTCATTTGGCTTTGTGTACAACTAAGAATAATAATATGTCTATGATAATGGGTTTGGTAGATATAAGGACTAAAATGATTTTACAACCTCAGAAATGAATGTTAATTTATCATAGTTCATAATTTGTACAAATGGTCCAAGTATAATACATATTAGATCCAATACTACAATATATAATATATATATACAATATACAATATATATATGTATATTTACTTTTTTTAAATCATATTTAAGGACTTTTATCCATAAGTAGTATAAATATTTAAATAACTGAGAAACTACTCTTTTGAATTTTAAATTAGGTACCGTAAGAGCGGGATACTTTACTCCAGGGGTTAAACATTGCTCCAAAAAAAATTTTTATTGATATCAATCGTAGCACATTACGATTTTGAGATCAGAGATTGTAGTTTTTTTTATATTATTCTTATTAACATTACTAATTTTTTCAAACATTACGGACATGAATCTATTAGTTTTCCTCCAAGATGTATACCATGTAAAAAATGGTTTTCAAAAACACAAAAATACATACCGGAAAAGTTATCCAAAATCTAGGGGATTGAAATTTTATTTAAAATGTATTGAAAAAAGACTTTTAATCAACTAAAAAAAAAAAAAAAAAATATATTATTAAATTATATTAAGTATAGGTTCAAATAAGTTAAAACACAAGCACTAAACATTGCACCAATAGTTATTATATGCATTAAAGTAAGGTAATTTTAATCATTGCGCAATGTAACCTGCAATGTATTTTAACTTTGCTCCAAACTTTTGGGAATAAGTAAGTAAGTCACTAGTACGACATTCGGATTTTTTTGAATTGTTCTTACCTCTTAACATCTATACATATAAAACAACGCGAACAGGTAATTTTTATCTTTGTTATTGAAGCTATAGTATAGGTTCAAACTAAAAAAGAAATATATTTGGAGCAAAGTATCCCGCTTTTACGGTACATCAACATTTACAAAAAAAATTATCGACTAATTAATCTACAGTATAAGAAAGGGGGTTGCCATTTGGTAAACAAAAGTTTGTAAATTTGTATCACCACAGGACACTCCTTAAAAACCTAGTTAGGTACTTCAAATAATCTCAAAAATTTGATAACTTTTATTTGAGCAAATTAACCAGAATTTCAATAAATTCATTATTAAATAAAAAAAATGTGGATGAACAATGAACATATTTTGTGAATCACGCTTTAAATGTACTAAACAATTGTTTGGTGATCACAGCTTTTCAGTCAAAACTTTTATTTAATTATTCTTATAGTTTTATTATTATTATTATTGTTATTATTATTATTATTTCCATTACTTATAAATTGTATTACAAATAAATTACTATAGTTAATAAAAAAATATAAGGTACCTATCTGCCATTCATTTTACATTGTTACATAATAGTAATATTGGTAATTAATGTATTCAATCGCATGACTTTGGATTTTTCTATTTTTTTTAATTGTACCCAGTGGACGTTTTAATAATACTCTTAATGTAATTATGAAGTCAATACAATTATAATTTTTATTAGGATAAAAAACTAAAAAGATTATGTAATAAACATCTATCATGTCATAAACATATTTTTCCCTTGGGGTTCTTGCATAGTTAAATGCCTCGCAATCCAAATTTCTAGTTACATAGCTGCTTTTTTTGTAGCGTAATGCTTAAAAATCACTCTCATAATATATGCCCTTTCTTGTATTAAATATGGTATTAATTTGATTTTAAAATATGTCAAGTAATTTTAGTAATTGTAGTAAAATTTAGTAGTAGACATGTTGTTTTAAATTTAACAGGATTCTTTAATAGTTAATTGTTTTAATCATATCATATTCCAGCAGTAAGTAAATTCACTTATGTGAGCAACTTAAGGTAATCTAATGTCTAATAAACAGAAAAAATCATGTTATACAAATCAAATAAAGGGATATAGAATGTTAATTATTTAAATATTTAAATATTTTTTTATTGTAAATATAAATAAGATGTTTGACATATTATTAAAATGTTTA